GGCGGCGCTCCCGGGGGTGGCTGAAAGAGGGAGGAAAGCAGCGACGGTGTTTTAGCTCATGGAGCTGTAGCGGAGGGGCAGTAGCTCCAGCGGGCCCATGGGGGGTGCGGTGCGGTCTCCACCATTCGCAGTTTCAGCTGCTCGTTCGGGAAGGGTTTGCTTCAGTGGGTTTTAATTAAAAAAAGTTGGGAATCACTTCAGGTTTAAATAACATTTCAGCATTTGGAGAGAGGAGCAGACCCTCAGTTTTCTGGTTGAAACATGAAGGGCGTGGGGAGTGGAAAAGTTCTGAATGTGCTTTGTGGAATATTTTTACAGACCATTACCACAGAGCTGCTTCCTATTTTAAATCCCTTGCCTCAATTATCTTCTCTGTCATTACCATATTGTGATCTCTTCAACTATTTTGAATGTGAGAGTTATTGAAAACGTAGCCTATATCCAGCCTGTGGAGAAGGGTGCCCTTGCCTGTGATCAGGAGAGAGAAAGAAAGAAAGAGGTTTGCAGAGTATTTTGGGGGGCCCATTTACATGGCTTTTTTTCTTTAAGCCACATGAGAGAGTGAGGACACCTGTTTTGTAAATGGGTGGCTGTGAGCCATGTATTGAAATATAACGTTAGAAGAAAAGTTACACTTCTATGAGCCACGTAGGAAATCTATTTGCTGGGGGGGGGGTTGTTCCGTTTAAAAAATGATAATGTAAAAATTGATATATTCATAGCTGGTCCTTTGTGCCCTGTTATTTGTGCAAGACTGGATCTAAACACGGCCAAGTGAGAATCTCAGGGAATAACAAAGACATAAGGTTAGTGTGCCATTGTTGCCATAGGATAACCTGTCTCAAGTGCTGCCATGGCATAGCCGGTGATTCATTCCCTTCTGTTGCTCATTAACATAAGTAGAGCAATATGCTGCCTGCCTTCCTGTTGACTGACCTGCCTTTTTGTGTGGGACACAACTGAGTTTTTGGAACTGCCAAGGAGGTCTCTTGATACCTCTGAAAGAGGTTTTTCAAACAACTCTTGATCACCTTAACTGAAGCAAGTGAAGTGAAGTTGTAGTTTGCTTTTGGCTTCTTGTGCATATTGGAAGACAGACACGTTTAGTGAAATGAGAGTTGTAGGCACTTCTGTTATTTTGGTGATCTCTGGCAAGAACTAGAGACATTGATTGGGAAATTTATGTAGTGTATTGCAAGGTATTTTTTAAGTACTTGTTTTCAAATGCCAGCTCGCTTACAGGTCTGTCATGACTGTTTGGTGTGAGTGTCCTTCCTCCAGTTCTCAGTCTATATCACTGCAATCAACCTCTGTCAGATGTACTGTAAATCTTGCCTAGACAAATTGTGCAGATACACAGCATAAGAGTGGAGCGCCCTGTTTTGTATACAAAGATGTTGGATCCATTTCATCTGGTGCTTTCTTGTCAGAGAAGTGAATCTGGATTGCATATTAGACTGAGAAGGCTGCTTGATAATGACTAGGAATATGGGGTGGGCTATCCAGATACTTTATGTCAGTAGTCCAGCAGGCAGGTCAGCATAATTATCTCTGATTGTGAGTGAGGGCCTAAAACCATTTAAAGCATGGTCCTATACCATTTATCATTCTTTTTGAATTAAATCACACTAACTTGTAGTTTGTTCATTAAACTTACTGATTATATGTATTCACTAGATTTGTTTTCCTTCAAGGACTCAAGGTGGCATATATACTACTCTGTCCTCCAGTTTTTCCCCTCAGCAACCCTATGAGATACTTTGAACTTTGAGGGAGTGACTGGTCCCAAGTCAACAGTGCGCTTCCATGAACCTGGGTCTCCCCACTCTGAGTTCATTACTTTAACCACTACATCACATTTGCTTGTGGGCAGGTGAGCGTGCACAGGATGCTGCTGGCCCCGTGAATTAGTGTGAAGTGAGTTTTATATCATGTGATACTCTGATTTACTTCATTGGTCTAGTTTCTGCATTTGTGAAAATCACTGCTATTAGTTGACGCAGATTTCTTCAAAGGCTCGTTTTTTTCAAGAGTGGAAGAATCTGCTTGAAAGAAATGTGAGGGATATGCCCATCAGTCAGTCATATTTATTTGTTGTAGTGTTCCACTGTCATGGAGTGTTCCAGCTTCCCCCCTGAGATCTGGAAGGGCCTGACCCTCCTGCTATTTCAGAAGGCCGTGGAAAGGTGGCTTTTCCCTCAGGTGCTGGGCCAGGATGTCAGACGGGCCCAATATGTGTGTGGTTTGTGTTGTGAGTTTGTTATGCCATACCTTGGGTACCGTATTATGGTTTTTAGAATTCTGTTTATGGTGGTTTTATTACACTGTTTTCTTGTGGATTGTTGTTAGCCCCCCTAGAGTTATTTATATAAGATGGATGGTCATATACATTTCCTAAATAAATGAACAAAATCCTAGTAGATGTTCCCCATCTGCAAAGGTGAGTGAGCAATGCTACCATTTTCTTTCCCTTTCATGAGGGAGATTGTGATTGTCAGTTCTGTGGCTTGAGGTGTGTGTGGATCACCTTAGTCAAGCAAGCAAATCTCTGACTGCTTGTAATGCTCTAGAGTTAGAAAAGGTAAGGTGAGACAGTTTGGGAATGGAACCATGCCAAACATCTTCCAAAATGGTCTGGCTTGGCAGGAAAGTGGTAACAATTTTTCACTTGGCTGGAAAGGCAGAGTTGTGTCAGAAGTCACAGTTAAACGATTGGCATACAGTAGTGGTATCTTCTTTGGGAAAGCAGATCAGGATTTGCAATTACAGTTGTTTAAAATAAAAGTCCTTTAATACGTTGTGTGGAATAAAATCATTGAAGTCTTCCTATTTGAGTCTTAACTGTATTCTCACAAAACCTCGAAGGAGGAAGGTAAAATTCGTATGTATGAAGGAGCTTGATTTACCACGTGAACCTGTGAAGCTCACTTCATGTTGCGTGCTGGCTGGGGAATTCTGGGAGTTGAAGTCCACACATCTTAAAGTTGCCAGGGCTGAGAAACACTGCTCTGAGGTATCTTAGGTCACCCTCTGTTCCTGAGTGCTGCAGAGGATTAATG